TAGAAATATCGGTATTAGTTAAAGCCTCCAAAGACATATCGCATTGGATTTTTTTTTTAAGCGTTTCACCCCAAGCAAGGCGGGAAGCCACTAGGACGCAATGGGTTACAGAAGATTTGGAGCAAGATCAGATAGAAGTGATAGAGGAAAGGATGAAGAGAAAGATAGGGGATAGATCAAGGCAACTGGAGATGTCAATTGACATTACATTTGAATAGTTGGAGATTATAGCTCTCACGGAAAATGGAATAGGGAAGGGAGTTTCTCAGGCGAAAGGTGCGAGACATGAAGCTATTGGAGTAGAAGAGACGGCTACATTTAGGAGTTTCGACAGTGAAAGGGTGAGGGCGGGATGCCAGTCTCGTAGGGCGCTTGAATTCATGAAGTCTGGGAACCAGCGAATGCAGCTCCTCGGAGTAATTACCATGAAAGTATTTGTAAAAAAGACAGAGAGAGGCAACGGCGCGTCTGTGAGAAAGCAACTGTAGACGAGAGAGAGAGAGAGAGAGAGAGAGAGAGTGCGAGAGAGATGGATAGAGAGAGAGAGAGAGGAACAAACCGTCATGTAATTAACGGTCTGCTTTAGTAAAACGGAACATCTCGTCATTTTGAATCTTCAATTGTACTCTCTTACTTCTTCAATGGCCCGGGATTGTTATTGCAATATCTTGTTAGATTTGTGAAGCTCAAATAATTGATTATAAAATTTAACAGTCCCCTCACGAGGGGTGTATATCGCACAAGGCCGAGTTTACCGTGGGTTCTCCGAGCCCGTAGGCTCGGCCAAAAATATTCCATTTGAAAACGCCTAAACGGGATCAGGGACTGTCTACCTCCCCGGACGAAACTTTGCCCTGCGACAAAGCCGCGTCCGGGACCCTCTCTGCCTCGGCAGAGAGTTCGACAGTTACGAACAGTCTGGTCGACTGATCCCGAATATTCCCCCCCCCTGGACTAAATAGACGGTAGTGTTCGAAATGCCTACAGATATCACCAGAAGAAGGCCGGAGTGCACAACAGTCGAAACGTCGTGAGTAAGGTAATAAAGATGAGGACAACAGTCAGAACAGAGTAAATAGATTTTATTTATAGGGGAAAATGATGTGAGTTTTAAATAAAATAAAGAAATGGGTTAATATTTTCTTTCCTTAAAATTGCTGCATGCAATAATACTGAATGTCTACAGTCTTTTCCTTTACCAGAGGTCTAACATTTTCTGTTCCTTTGTATGTTCAACACATTTCTTTTGATGCAGCAGATTAAAATGCATTTGATATCAACTACACCGATCAAAAATTATTTCCCACTTTAACTCTTTTCGGCGTAAACAAGTCCTTGGCTTTGCGTTTACGAAAATTTGCATTTCACATTCTCTTTGCGTCTTTTTCTCGTTTGTCATTTTATCAATATCATTACAGATGCATGTGGCTGTCAAGATTCTCCTCAGATAGCTTGTTCACATTTTGCAAATGACATACAAGTCTGTCGACCTTTGTGATTGATGCTAATAAAAACATTCTCATGTTTGTATTCCCTTTGCATATAGAATATCAGTATAATCTTGTTTATTTTTAACTTTAGTTCATCTAATACAAGAATCAAGGTTGTTATATAGGAATAAAGTGTCGCTGCTGACACTTGCGATTGAACGTAGATCGTCAGTGAGCAAACACAAGCGATCTCATTATTGAATTAAGAATGAGATAAATGAGTTAAGAAACGCATGTAATTAAATGATCGTTAATTCTAGTATATCCTCTATTACTATTAAGATCGACATTTCTAGTCTATCCTCTATTACTATTCGGATCGTTATTTCTAGTCTATCCTCTATTACTATTCGGATCGTTATTTCTAGTCTATCCTCTATTACTATAAAGATCGCCATTTCTAGTCTATCCTCTATTACTATACGGATCGCTCTTTCTAGTCTATCCTCTATTACTATTCGGATCGTTATTTCTAGTCTATCCTCTATTGCTATTCGGATCACCATTTCTAGTCTATCCTCTATTGCTATTCGGATCGCTCTTTCTAGTCTATCCTCTATTACTATTCGGATCGTTATTTCTAGTCTATCCTCTATTACTTTTCGGATTGCCATTTCTAGTCTATCCTCTATTACTATTCGGATCGTTATTTCTACTCTATCCTCTATACTATACTCACCGCTATTCTCTACTCTATTTACTATACTAATCCTCTATTGGGATCACTATACGGATTACTATTCGAGTTTGTATTATCGGGCAATTATTATTAGTGCAAAGTGTTAATCAAAGTCATCAGTCAGCATAATGGTCAACGGCGTTACTATAGTTGTATCTGCGATAACAAAGTCTCTACCACAACGGGCATTACCAAAGTGATAACGAGTATTCGTTGATTTCACAAAATCTCCAGATAGATGTTTAATGTCGTAACAGAGGTGGGTGGAATGATGAAACAACAAGTGTATATTATGAGGTTTTGGAGGATAGATATGAGTTTGCCCTGGACTTGAAGCGACTAAGATTGTAGTGGTCAGGGAAGCATCTACTGCGAAGTTTGCTCCACAAAGTAACAGTTCGGAGCTGTCTGGGTGGAACTTATTCCTTAACAAGGAACACGAATTGAATGGGAATGGTTTGCCATCGTGAATATGGAAGGGTTGTTTCTACCTTCTACCTTTCGTCTGTTGGATAGGTCTGCCGGATGGGAAATAGTTCATCACGCTGAATAAGCGCTTTTGTACCCTGGCTAGGCTGGAGGGAGATCTGGACATCATTACTCCAATTTTGATCTGAGTGATTTTCTAAAGATAGGGCTTGGGAGGAGGAAGAACATTCCAGGGCGTTGCAAGGAACCAACCATTTCCCCACCATCTTTAGCGATGGCACGAATACCCCTGTTTTATTTGAGGTTTGGAGTAAAATTCAGAAGAGATATCCATTCGGGGTTCGGAAGTTCATAGACTCTATGACTACTCATCAGTATTGGAACAAGTTTAGAGTCTTTTCAGTAGTAATGAGACTTTACTAGCTTTGTCCTGGAGGTATTGAATAATACAAGCCATCCCCCCCCCCCGCCGTTGAGCTGTGAGAGATCAGAGGCGTAATCAGCTCGGTATAGTCTTCTTCCTTATTAATGCTATGGATGTTGTGGTGGAAAATGCAACACTGAAATCCAAACACGCCTTGGATTAGAGAAAACAAACAGGCTTCAACTTTATATAGATAGATATATATGTGTGTATGCATGTGGTGTGTTGCGAGAGAAAATATAAAAATATGTGTATTATATGGCTAAAGTACATTCAACATTGCATTCAATTTTGTCTTTTTCCTTATTCGCCTTTTATTATCTGATTTAGAGAAAAAAATGCCGGAATTGACTACAGCAAGAGTGACATTCGCTCTAAAAGCAGATAACTCCTGTTTATCTTTTATCTTAAATAATTTTCGTTTTTTCAATTTGAACCAAAGATATCGGCGCCATTGACAGAGTATACCGAACCGAAATAACAGTTGATTAAAGGGAGTGTGTTTAACGAAAGAAAAGAAAATCAAAATAATAAAGAGAAACAAAGAAGGCAATTCTTCTCTTACGTGGTTCATTGATTAAAAATCGTTGATTGCTCTAAAATGTGTTGCAAGCGGTTGATTAAGTTGACTGCGTTTCCCTCTTCCGTAATGATAAGTTAAATAATTTTCTTTTTTGGGGAATTATCTCTTTCCTTCTCGTGAATAAGAGCCTTCCGCCATTATCCTGTTTTGGGTTGATCAAACGGACACGACACAAGCATGCAAACGCAGTTATCTACAGATGCAGTCGCGCATAGACGTTCACAGTGAAGCATTTTAGAAAAAAAAACGTTTCTCTTTTTTTTATTTACATTTGCATGTATTAATTCCATTGCACTTTCTCGTTTAATCGTGTTGTCATTATTATTATTATTATTATTCTTATTTTTATTATTGATCCTCTCCGACTAATGTCCTTCGGCAAATTGATGATTGTTTTATCTACAAGGGTCGTTCAAAAAGGTCGAAGCCTCACCCAGAAAAATGCGCCATAACTGAATATTTTTGTTGTGACACCTCAATTCTTTAAAACTAGAAAAAACAGATTTTTGTCTTAATCTATGCGCAGCTTAAACCCATAAAAATGTGAGTGCTGTGCGACAAATCTAAAAATGAACAAAACAGACGCTTGAGCCGTCATAAAGTGTATTTGCAAAAGAAAGTTATAACACCTATTTAAATCCACGAGTCCATGTTGCAAACACTTGCTGAGGACTCCCCTTCCGATGCAATCGTGAAGTGGGCTGTGGAATTTAAGCCAGGTATGGAAAGCACAGGTCGTCCAAAAACCTCAGCCATCGATTAACAAGTTGATGGCATTCTCCGCATGGTCTTACTGTCCGGTAGATAGCTAAGTCCATAGGCATTAATTCTGGTTCGGTTTGTACTCTTTCAACTGAGATCTTGGATATAAGCAAGCTGTCGGCAAGATGGGCTCTAAAAATGCTGACAGCAGAGCAGAAGCTGAAAGGGCTGACATTTCCAGGAAACTTCTGACTCGCTTTCTGTCTGAACCTGAGAATTTCCACCGAAGATTTGTGACTCAAGATGAAACCTGGGTTCTGCACTTCGAACCTGAATCAAAGATTCAATGCAAACAGTGAAAACATTCTGGCTCTCCATCCCGAAGTATTTCAAGCAGCCACCCTCTGTTGGCAAAGTTATCGCTTTTGTTTTTCAAGGCGTAATCATGATAGCCTACCTGGAAAATGGAAAAATGCAGAGCGAATCTGAGCGATGGTGTATTTTATTCCAGTATAACTCGGCCGTTCACACTGCTCAGGTTGCAATAGCTGAAGCAGTCAACTTTGGTATTGAATTGCTACCCGGACTTCCCTTATTCTCCAGACCTAGCTCTATGTAACTTCCTCCTGCTTCCTAAACTCAAATTCCATCTGCGTGGCCGGCATTTTAGAAACAATGATGAGGTCATATGTATCATGGTGGAAGGAGGTTTTGGCGGTCCAGAACAGCTCGTGGAGGAGGGAGATTTTGGAGGTCCACTACACCACGTGGATGAGGAAGATTTTGGAGGTCCAGTACATCTCGTGGAGGAGGGAGGTTTTGGTGGTCCAGTACGCCTTGTGGAGGAAGGAAGTTTTGGAGGTCCAGTACGCCTCGTGGAAGAGGGAGGTTTTGGAGGTCCAGTACGCCTCGTGGAGAAGGGAGATTTTGGAGGTCCAGTATGCCACGTGGAGGAGGGAGGTTATGGAGGCCCACTACACCACGTGGAGGAGGGAGGTTATGGAGGCCCACTACACCACGTGGAGGAGGGAGGTTTTGGAGGTCCAGTACACCACGTGGAGGAGGGAGGTTTTGGAGGTCCAGTACACCTAGTGGAAGAGGGAGGTTTTGGAGGTCCAGTACGCCATATACTTCCGTGATGAGAATGAAAGCCTGTAGCATCGTTGATGTCAAAGTGGACTGTAAAAACTGTATTGTTTCTCCAACTATTTCTGGACGAGGTTTAGGTCTTTTTGAATGGCGATTGTCCGCTCTTCCTTGCAGCTTAGACATGCAACACTTTCCTCGGCCCGCGAGCTTTTTAAAGCCTTGCTGCTACCCGATCACTCCCAATGATGTCAAGTATTCGTCACGCGTCTTTCAAAGCATAGCGACTCCCTGGCATAAACCCGAGAGCGCTAACGACAAAGGGAACAACTTGAGTCGCTGCTAATCGGTAAATTCCCCCAATTTGTTCCATCAGTTTTTGGAACCAACTCTTAATTTCTGATCCGGGGTGGTAGCCCCTGTTAGGATCCCCGCTGTGGGCAAATAGTTAGCCCACAAACTGGGGTCAAAATACTAATACAAATTTAAAAAGAGGTCTTTATAGTAAAAATACCAGCAATATATTTTCATCGTAAAAAAATTAACATCAATATATTTTTTGTAAAAAAAAAATATCACAGCAATATATGTTTGAATATATATATATATATATATATATATATATATAGCATAATGAGAAGCCACGTATACTTTCTTAATATCTATATATAGAAAAAGTTGCAAATTAAAAAAATAAAGTACTTTTATGAAAGTATTTCTTTGTATATATATTTGATATTTCAGATTGGCCTCAATCTTCTTCAGAGATAACTGTTTGTGTCCAAGTAGCGTCCGTCGCGAGATGCGGACGTCACGTGATATGGAACGAATATTCCTAACGTAAATCTAATCTAACTAAATCTAACGTAAATCTAACGTAAACAAACAATACGTCAAAACAATCCTTACTCCCCCATAGCTGAACACTTTAATCAATCAGGACACTCATTAGAAAACTGTAAATGTTTATTGATAGATTCTGATTTCAGTTCCACGTACACACGCAGAAAAAAAGAAAAATACTGGATTTTAAAATTAAATACATATAAACTTGGGTTAAATAAAGACTTGGGTATTTTAAATCTTTATAAATATTTCAATAGTTAAACATTTTTAGATATAGTTAGAAATTTTTTTTAATTCTTATTTTATTTTTTAATTTTATTTTTTTAAATTTTTTTTTTAACAGCATCTAAGGTATTATTACAGTTCGATTTACGTTAGGAATATTCGTTCCATATCACGTGACATCCGCATCTCGCGACGGACGCTACTTGTACACAAACAGTTATTTCTGAAGAAAGATTGTGGCCAATCTGAAATATCAAATATATATATAAATAAATAAATACTTTCATAAAAGTACATTATTTTTTAAATTTGCAACTTTTTCTATCTATCTATCTATCTATCTATCTATCTATCTATCTATCTATCTATCTATATATATAGATAGATATTGTGTATATTTAGGCACCAGTTTTTCATTCATGCATGTTTCATTAAATAATATAGACAAGTTTTGTCTATATATTTTAAGTAAGTTCCTTTCGTATTGTCTGATAAATTTAATAACATTATCATTGAAAGACAAAAGGAAATCACCATATTGATACATGTTTAAATCCAATCTAAGCTTTCGCCTTACATAAAACATTATCAAAGATGACAATTAGTTTTCAATATATCAACCAATACACGGACGAAACAATAATGATAGTTTGTTTTTGTTGCATGAAAAATTTCACAGTAACGGTTAACGCGTGTATACGAGACGCAGAAGCGAAAATCGCGTCGCAGCTCGTGACGTCACACATGACCACGCGAGAGTGAATTCGAGAAGTATTAAATATGGGAAGCCGTTGGTATAAACCAATGGCTTCTGTTATCAATTATAGTCATTTAAGAATATTTGTGGATATTTCGTAGTTTATTTTGTTCAGGTTAGGTTTCAACTGTTTTATGTATATAGCTTCGAGAATTTTGAGCTTTTGTTTATTGTTTTCTTGTTTAAGTAAGAACAGGTGGGTTCATGCCTTTCCAGTGGGTGTCAGCGTGTAAGTGAATATATCGAGCTCGACTGGAACTGGAACTCGCCGCCCTCCCATTTTCAATTACGAGCCGTTATCTTTTACACCGCCCGAACATCCAAGCTTACAGCACCGGTTATTCCGTAGTGGTCACCCATCTTGATACTTATTAGGTTCACTTAACTTCGGTTATTCTAATGAGAACTGGGCTTTCAACGTGATATCGTCGTATGCCACTTTCGCCAAAATTGTCCTTGGGAAAGGTATGAAGCTATCTTTTCTGTATCTCCTCAACTATGGGTAAATTAGCATCGGAATCTGGGTACCCTCATCGTAGTTCGCAACCCTTCTCAGAGAAAGGAAAGATATGCAGAACCGCTTTGTAGCCATCGCCAAGCTCATACTATGCAGCTATTGAAAAAAGTTTATGCAGATTAACTAACTTCGGCTCTATCATCTAGATCAGCGTTTCTCAACCCGGGTTCTCCGGTAAGCTAACATTTCCCAAGGATTCCACGAGAAATTTATCAAATGGCTCTTAGCCCATTTATTGGTTCACAGGACATTTTGCCTTGATTTACTTTATGTCTTTTCAACATTGCCAGTAAAGGATAAAAAAAAAAATAACAGCTACAGCAATTATCTGTTTTCGTTTTGTTTACATTTATATTATAGGTATATGATATTGGTTACTTATATTTATTTTTTGACGTTTGACTTTAGAAATAAACGAACAGTATGAATTTTATTTAGCATTACTAAAAAAATTGATAAAGAAATATTAATTTTTCTTTAAACCAGTTATTCAAAAATATATACTTGTGATATTTGTCGTGAGAACTACGATGCAATTAAAATAAGAAATATGTGGTATATAATTTTGTTTTTGCACAGGAGTCCCTTGAGGCATGTAATTTATTTTAAGGGTTTACGCAAGGGTAAAAAGGTTGAGAAACTTAGATCTTGATTGAGAGTGAATAAATAAAGTAAGGAAGATGATAACTCGGGCCTACAGTAATTATTTAAAGGCAAATGCATTAATATATAAATAAAATGGTGGGCAAAGTCGTTTCATAAAATGCTCAATTTGTTTCTCCGACACGGACTGAAAACATTGACAGATGGTAATTTAATAATGAACATTGAAAAGTCTTTCCGGTTCTGTGAAGTCATCAATATAACATGAATACAACAGCCCACAAAATCCATGGATGAATGACTTCTATAACTAGTTTCAGATTATGGAACATTCGCTTCATTTTAATGCCTTCATTTCGTGAAGAAAGGCATGAGGAAAGAACAATGAACTGAAAGAATGGTTTGGTTTAGTTTGTTTTACGGTATATCAGCCTGAAATGGTTATTTAATACCGACAAAATATTTACTGTTGGTAATATTGTTTTTCAAAAATGCTTTTCTGGTAATATTTTTCTTCAAAAAATGTATTTCCGGTAATATTTTTTTTTAAAAATGTATTGCTGCTAATATCTTTGTTTTTTCAAAAATGTATTGCTGGTAATATACTTTTTTCAAAAATGTATTTCTGCTAAAATGTATTTTTTCAAAAATGTATTTCCGGTAATATTTTTTTTCAAAAATGTATTGCTGCTAATATCTTTTTTTTTTTTTTGGTAATATATTTTTTTCAAAAATATATTTCTGGTAATATGTATTTTTTTCAAAAATTTATTGTTGCTAATAATTTTTTTTCAAAACTGTATTGCTGGTAATATGTATTTTTTCAAAAAGTTATTGCTGCTAATAATTTTTTTTTTGCAAAGTATTTCTGGTATTAAAACCTATTTTTACACTTTGATAGTGTTTTAACCCCAGTTTGTGTGGATAACTATTTGTCCATAGCTGGGACCCTAACAGTAGCTACCACCCTGGGTCAGAGAGGACCTGGAAACACCAGCAATTAAAAGGTGGTTCCACGCTTCTCAAAACCACCTGATTAGAGGCCTAGCTTTCGGAAGTAGTTTATCGTCTTACCCAAGACGCGGATGTAGGTTATCGTCATACCCAGGACGCGGATGTAGTTTATTGGTATACCCAGGAGGGTGAACTGAAAGAAAATAGCATGCATGGTTGGCAGCTTGAAAGATAGCAAAAAAAAAAAAAAAAGAAAAAAAATAGAAACAGCTACAAATTGGGGACTTGAAAATCAAGTATGTTTTGAAATTTAACTATTTGGGTAGTTTGGTAACAGACGGAGATAAATATATGGAGCAGTAAAGTAGAGGAAGATACCTTACAAAAGCTAAGCAAAATAATTCGACAGGAAAATATCTTTATAAAAATCATACTGAAATACTGTCTATTCAGTGGCCTGCAGTAGTTTGGTGATGTCCTAGGCCAACTCCTTGATTGTATGCACGTAAACTCAAGTAAGAAGGCTCCTTATAAGGCGTCGTACTGAGAAAGGTGAGAAAATAACTCGTGTGGCTGTAGGGTGCTTGTACAATGAAGTTAACAAAGACATTTTCAAATTTCAAAAACTAAATATTTGTTTCACTCTTTGATTAGGTGGCCACCCCTCGACGATATGGACGCCTCGGGACGTTGCATCACTTCCCCACTTCTGTACTCTACTGCTTGTATTACCGTACATTCTCGAAGATAGTGCGAGTTTTACGATCAGAAATTTTTTAAGGAAAAAAATAGGGGATCGCACTATACACATGTACATTATTTGAAGAGGTTAAAAAAAAATAAAACAAACATGCATTTTAGGTGACCAGTTGAACAAAACACAGTTGTCCTCATCTTTACTGCCATATTTACAGCGTTTCGTCCGTTGTACGCTCCGACCATCTTTAGGTGAGATATTTTGAATTTCAAACCGAATACTTTATTTAGAACACGGGGTTAGAGGGTTCTATTTCCACTTGTCATGCCCGTTTCTTAGGTTAACTCTGTATCAGTTAATTCCTCTTACTAACTCAAATCTTTACGTTTTTCTTCCATCTGCTGCGGCTAAGTATTGAACTCAAAACGCTTTGGGTAATGTCATTTTTTGGATTACTCATCCAACGTTTTAATCCA